TTTAAAAATTTTAATTTTTCATAAAAGTAAATCAGAAGAGAATTTATAGTAAATAAGCAGGCAAATTTGCCTGTGAACCTTTACAATTTAAGGGATAGAAATTATTTAGACCCAATTTTAACTTTTTTTATTTAAAAGGATAATATATGAAAAACCTAGCATTTAGAATTAACTTTACAAGTACACAGAGTGAAGAGACTTATATAATTAATATAACAATTCCATTTCTTCAGGCTATATTGAAAAGACTTTCAGTTAGAAAAATTAATTTGTTAAGTATATAAATTAGGTTAGATCTTTCTAGTTATATTAATTTATCATAAATAGTAACTTGATTCTTATTTACTTATTGACTTAAAATTATCTAATGCAGAAAAACAAAGTGTGGCTAATGCATATAGAAGAGGTGAAGAGAAATAGAAAAAACAGCCTAATGTAATATTTTTAGAAGTATATAGAAGTGATCAAAAAAAAGTTATATAATGTTAACGGAGCAATTGGCCAATCATAATGAAATTACGTGAATGATGTAGTATAACGATCTCCTAATCCAGAATTCTAAAAATACTGAGAATTCTGCAAATTCTAAAAATATAGAAGATTTACGTAATTCTACAAATCTTCCAAATACTGAGGATAACCCTAATTTTATGAATTAACGAAGTCTAAAAATATTTAATATTATACTTATTTTTAATATTCTACTTTTATTATTATTTTTATGAAAACTTCTAATTATCACCGTAGGTGATTTCACCTATATATAATATCACGTGATTTACCGCAATAACCGCAGCATCATAATAAATTTTTTATTATTACAGTACTGTAAAATACAATCCTAATATTAACTAAAATACAACTTAATTTCTTTCACTAAGAGGTTTACTTTTACAATTGCGCAAATCATGACCTATACCTTTACAACCCTTACATCTTCTTTGTTTTTTATTATCCCCATCATTAACTTCATTTTCTATCGTATGTTCTAACTCCAAATTAGTTACTTTTTGCTTCTTATTTTGGTTTGCAGTTTCTTCTTCACTTAAATACTGATTTGGAGGACGTCCACGTCACCTTGAAGTCATTGGATTAGAACAAATAATATTAGGTTTATTATTTTCTTGATGGTTATTTTCGATATTCTCTTTATCAATATCTTGGAGTAATTCTTGTTATTTTTCATCTATAAACGTTTGAAGTATTTCATTTAACTCATTATAATAGTTTAATTTTTGTGCTAAATCCAAAGCCTTTCTTGCAATTCTTAAAGACCTTCCATATTTTACTTTTGCTGAAACAATCTTTTGAAGTTTTTCTGTATAAACTTGACCATCACGGACTTGATGAATATAATTAAAGTTCATTTCTCTATAAACTGTTGCTTCGGAACTATCTTCAACAATTAATATTACATTTAATAAAGCCAATTCCTCATCAGTAATACTAAGCTTTAAGTCATAATACCAGCGTTGATTTATTAATGAAATATGAAACTTAGCTTCTGGACTTTTTCTAAGAACTTTGTAAAAATGTCTGCAAGGAACACCAAATGATATCAAGAAATTGCAGGTGCAAAAATGATTTCCATCTATCATTAAAATAACAAAATGTGATTTTGTTTGTGAAAGTTCCAGTTTAATCTCCCAGATTTCGATAATTGTCACATTTTGTATATTTCTGATCATAGACTGTAATAAAATTTGTGGTATTTCATAATCATCTTCTCAAAAACCTTCATTATAATCCATATTATTAATCTATATAAAAATATAAAAGAACAGAATATATTAGTGTTAGTGATATTAACTATCAAGAAATGATTATTCTGAATCTAACTTTTTATCCTAATCCTATGTTCTTACCCTAACCCTAACCTAACTTTAACCCTAACCCTAACCCTAACCTTAGTCCTATACCTTACCCTAATTCAACATTTTATCCTAACCCCATACCTTACTCTAATCTAATATTTACCTGTTGAATAAAGTTTCTATCCATCAAATAAGCATCGTAAAAGAATAAATGATTCATCTGATTTTGTGTTACTGCAAGAATATGTGGTGTTAAAAATTCTTTGCAAATCTTATTAATATGTCCAAAGAATTTTGAAGGCACATCATCTAAAGTTTGACGCAGCAAAGAATTGTGCATTTTAGTTATGCGTTCATATTTCACTTTATTATTAAGCATATTTTCAATTTCACTTTCAAGTTGACATAAAAGAAAGTTTTTTTGAACAGTTTCTTTCAGTAACTGATTAAGTGATTCTATTCATTAAGTGCTATTTATTCCACAGTTAAAAACTTTGTTTATATAATAAGTTGCCCAGCTTTCTTTTGTTGGTTCAAGCATCCTTTGTAAATATTTAGCTGTTTCCAGATATTTGTTAATTAAATTTTTCCATTTTTCTTCAAAAACTTCAGTAACAAGACTATTACAGCATAAAAAAAATTCAGACTGAAATTTATTAAACTTTTGAGTTCCAAGTTTTGGTCTTAAATTCTTTTTCAGATTAAAATCAATATGAAATATACACAAATTATGCTTTGTTATTGAATAAACGAAACTAATAGCATTTGCCATTGCAGGATCACAATCTGTATATATAACCTGAGGATAAAAATCATTTGACGCTTTTTTAAGTTGTTGTAAAATCCAAATAAATGAACTTTCTGTTTCATCTTCTAATAAAGCACTTGCTATCAATCGAGATCTTGTGTTATTATCAACAATAAGAAATAAGCATAAGACCATATCATGACGATTTGTTCCAGCTGTACAATCAAAAATCAAAACTTCGTGAAATCTTATGTAATAAAAAATTTGATTAGGTAATATCCAGATTAGTGATACTAATCTTCGACCTTCTTCAGATAATTGAAATTCAAAAAACCATTCAGGATCTTGTTGCTTTTTATCATAAAGATGGTGTAAAAGATTTGCAGCATCATTTTCGATAGTATCTTTTTGCCCAACCTTAAACTTTTGTATAGCATTATATAAATCTTTCTTAAAAATCGGATGATCAGAAAATTTTGCATGTAATAGTGGATATATTTGCCTTGCACTGGTTGTCTCATGTTTCACATAAAATTCAACATCATTAAGCATTGGCTGTGTAAATTTCCAAAATTTAAGGGCCATTTCATTAACTAATGGATTCATTTCATGATTGTATTCAAGTTTAATGGAAGTTATACCAATAGGATTTTCCTTTTTAGGTCTTGTCACAATGACTCTTCAAGGACAGTTAGTTTGCTGGATTTCTCTATTTCGTTGATTTTCAAGATTAACAGTTTTTTTTGATGTGTGATTTCGAGAATAAGTACACTCATAAGTTCTTCGTTTAATTTCATGTTTTTTCTGTTCTGCTGTTAAGCCTTTCATTTTGTCTTGACTCAAATGATAATCAACTCTTGTTTTTTTATAAGAAAATTCTTCTTGCAATGCATACCGTTTCAGGTGAGTCTCAAGTTCTTTCTAAGTTTGAAATGTTGTACCTGTGACTAATGTAGTGCAAAGTTCATTTTCTTCATCACTAGAATTTTCGTTAATATTTTCATCTATTATGTGTAATGAGAAGAAAGGGAAAAAAAGAGTGTAGGTTAACGTAACAGAATGAAAATGTGAAATGTAAACTAAAAAACAACCCGTGATAAAAAAAAATAGTTTATTGATAATCAAACACGTAATACATATTACATAATATCATAATCATAATCACATGATCAGGTGAAATCACCTGCAGTGCTGTCTAGTTATTTTCTATTTTTATATATTTTATATTTTATTATTTTACGTATTTTATTTTTCTTATATTTTATTTACCAAATTAGTTAGTTTATAGTATAGTAAATAGTTAGCTATAACAAAGAAATTTTGTATAAATAAATAGACTTTTTGCTTATATTCCCAATAAAAAATTTGATATAAAAATTCCATAAAAATATTAAGTTTTATAATGTATAACTTTTATGGAAAATCA